CTCCTCCCTTCTCTCTCTATCTATCTATCTATCTATCTATCTATCTATGCTCTATGTCCTCCTTTTCCTCTCTCCTCTCTCTCTTTCTCCTCTCTCTCTGCCCTCTGTCTTTCTTTCTCTGTGTCCCTCTCTCTCTCTCTCTGTCCTCTGTCTTTCTCTCTCTGTGTCCTCTGTCTCTCTCTCTGTGTCCTCTGTCTCTCTTTCTCAGCCCACTCTCTCTCCCTTCCCCTCTCTCTCTCTGTGTCCTCTGTCCTCTTTCTCACCCACCCCTCTCCCCCCCTCTCTCTCTCTCTCTCTCTCTCTCGTCATCTCTTCGCCTCTCTCTCGGTCTCTCCTCTCCTCTCCTCTCTCTCTCTCTCTTCCTCTCCTCTCTCCTCTCTCTCTTCCTCTCTCCTTTCATCCTCTCTCTCTCTCTCCTCTCCTCTCTCTCTCCCTCTCTCTAGCCCCTCTCTCTCTCTTTCTCTTTCTACTGTTCTCTCACACCTCTGTCCTCTGTCTCTATCTCTGTGTCCTCTGCTCTCTTTCCTCTGCTCTCTCTCTCTCTCATCTCTCTCTTTCCTCTCTCTCTCTCTCTCCTCGTCCTCTTCTTCTCTCTCTCTATCATTCCTCCATGCGTCTCCTCTCTCTCTCTCTCTCTCTCTCCCCCCCCCCCCCCCCCTCTCTCTCTCTCATCCTCCTCTACTCTGCTCCCTCCCCCCCCTCTCTCTTCTCTCTCTCTCTCTCGACTTGGTCCTCTCTACCCTCCTCTCTCTCATCTCTTCCCTCCTTTTCTCTCTCTTTCTTTCTCTCATCACCTCTCTCTCTCTCTATCTATATAGCTATCTCTCTTCACTCTTTCCTCTCTCTCTCTCTCTTTATTTATCTATTTATCTATCTATATCTCTCTCTGTCCTCCCTCTTTGTCTGTCCTCTCTGTCTCTCTTTGTCTGTCCTCTCTGTCTGTCCTCTCTCTCTCTCTATCTCTCTCCCTCTGTCCTCTTTATCTCTATCTCTCTGTCCTCCACTTGCCTGCTTTTTTACGTGACAATTCTCTCTCTCTCTCTTATCTATCTATCTTCTGTCCTCCTTCTCTCTTTTTCTGCGTCGTGGGCAATCTCTCTCCACTCTCGGGCCTCTCATCGTCCGCGTCTCTCTCTCTCATCTCTCTCCTTGTCTCATTAAGTCTCTCTCGTTTCTCTCACTCCTCTCGTCCTTCTCTCTCTCTCTCTTTTTTCCTCTCTCTCTCTCTTCTTCTCTCTCTCTCTTTCTCTCTCTCACTGTCCTCTGTCTTTCTCTCTCTGTGTCCTCTGTCTCTCCTTTCTCTCTGCCCTCTCTCTCTTCTCTCTCTCTCCGTCTCTCTCTCTCTCTTCTCTCTTCCCCTTCTCCCCTCCTCTCCGGTTCTCTCTCTCTCTCTCGTCTCTCTCTCCTCTCTTTCCTCTCTCTGTCTTTATATATCTATCTATCTATATCTGTCTGTCCTCTCTGTCTCCTTTGTCTGTCTTTTTCTTTCTGTCTATCTTCTTCTCTCTCTCTCTCCCTCCTCTCTCCTCTCCTCGTCTCTTCCTTAGTCCTCTCTCTCTCTCTCTCTCTCCTCTCGTCTCTCGTTGTCGTCTCTCTCCTCTCTCTCTCTCTCTCTCTCTGTCCTGTCTATCTCTCTATCTCCTCTACTATCTCTCTGTCCTCCTTCTCTCTCTTCTCTCTCTCTATCTAGCTATCTATCTATCTATCTACCTCTCATTCCCTCCTTCTCTCTCTCTCCTCTTCTCTCTCTCTCTCTCTCTCTCTCTCTCTCTCTCTTTCCCTCTCTTTGTCCCCTCTCTCTCTCTATCTCTTCTCTCTTTTGTTTCTCTTTCTCTCTTTGCCTCTCTTTCCTCTCTCTCTATCTCGCTCTCTCTTTTGTTTCTCTCTCTTATTCTCTTTCTCTCCTCCCTCTCTCTCTCTCTCCTCTCTCTCTCTCTCTCTCTCGCTCCCTCTCTTCTCGTCTCTCTCTCTCTCTCTCGGTCTCTCTCGTCTCTCTCTCTCTATTTCTCATCTCTCTTCTCTCTTTTTTCTTTTTGTTTTTTTCTTTTTCTCTCTCTGTCCCCCTTCTCTCTCTCTTTCTCTCTGTCCCCCTTCTCTCTCTTTTTCTCTGTGTCCCCTCTCTCTTTCTCTTTGTCCCTTCTCTCTTTCTCTCTGCGTCCTCTCTCTTTCTCTCTGCGCCCTCTCTCTTTCTCTGTGTCCTCTCTCTCTCTTCTCTTCTCTCTCTCTCCTCTTTCTGCTTCCTCCCTCCTCTCTCTTTCTGGTGCTCTTTGTCCTCTCTCCTCTCTCTCTCGTCGTTCTCTCTTCCGGGGATCTCTCATCCCTCTCTCTCCTCTCTCTCTCTCTCTCTCTCATCTCTCTCCCTCTCTCTCTCCCCTCCCTCTCTCTCGCTCTCTCTTCTGTCTCTCTGTCTCTCCCTCTCTGTCCTCTCTCTCTCTCTTTCTCTGTCCTCTCTCCTCTCCTCTCCTCCCTCCTCTCTTCTGTCTCTATCTGTCCTCTCTCTCTCTTCTTTCTCTTTCCTACTCTCTCTCCTCATATCTTCTCTCTCCCTTCTCTCCCTCTCTCTCTCTCTCTCTCTCTCTCTCTCTCTCTTGGTCCTCTCTCTCTCACTCTCCTTTCTTTTGCTCTATCTCTTCTCATTCTTTCCTCTCTCTCCACACACGTCTCTCTCTCTCTCTCTCTCTCTCTCTCTCTCTCTTTCTGTCCCTCCTCTCTTTTTCCTCTCTCTTTCTGTGTGTCTCCGCTCCCTTCTTTCTCCTCTGCACCCTCTTCTCTTTCTTTTCTGTCCTCTCTTGTCTCTCTCTCTCTCATCTCTCTCTCGTCTCTTCCTCTCTCTCTCTTCTCTCTCGGTCTCTCTCGGTCATCGTACTCTTCTCTCTCTCTCACAGCCCACACCACACACACACACACACATACACACACACATTTGCACACACACTCACACACACACACAACTTTCTCTCTCTCTCTCTCCGTCTCCGCTCTTCTCTCTCTCTTCGTCTCGTCTCTCGTCTCTCTCGTCTCTCTCTCTTCTCTCTAGGTCTCTCATTCTCTCCTCTCTTTCCCCCCCTCTCTTTCTCTCTTTTCTCTCTCTCTCTCTTTTTTCCTCTCTCCTTTTCGCTTCTTTCTCTCTGTCCTCTATCTCTCTCTTTTTCTTCTCTCTCTTTGTTCTCTCTCTATCTCTGTTTGTTTCTCTCTCTCTCCCTCCCCTTCCCTCCCCCTCTCTCTCTCTCTTTCTCTTCTCTCTTCTTCTCTCCGCTCCTCGTCTCTCCTTCCTCTCGAGTCTCTCGCTCTCTCGTCTCCATCTCAGACTCATCCTCATCTCTATCTCTCTCTCTCTCTCTCTCTCTCTCTCTTTCTCTCTCTCTCTGTCCTCTCTCTCTCTCTCTCTCCTTTTTTGTCCTCTCTCTCTCTCTCTCTCTTTGTCCTCTCTCTCTCTCTCTCTCTCTTCTCTCTCTCTCTGTCCCTCTTCTCTCTCTCTCTCTTTTTGTCCTCCTTCTCGTCATCTCTCCGCTTTAATATGTGTGGGTCCTCTCTCTTCTCCCTCCTGTCCCTCCTCCTCTCCTCTCCCGCTGTCTCTCTCTCTCTTTGTCCTCTCTCTTCTCTCTCATCTTTGTCCTCTCTCTTTTCTCCTCGTCTTCTGTCCTCTCTCTCTCTCTCTCGGTCCTCTCTCTCTCTCTCTCTCTCCTCTCGGTTCTATCTCAGATCTTCTCTCTCCTCTCTCTCTCTCTCTCTCATCTCTCTCTTCTCTCTGATCCTCTCTCTCTCTCCTTCTCTCTCTCTCTCTCATCTCTCTCTCTCTCTCTCTCTTCTCTCTCCTCTTTCTTCTCTCCTCTGTCCTCTCCCTTCTCTCTCTCTCTCTTTGTCCTCTTTCTCTCTCTCCTCGTCTCTCTCTCTCTCTCTCTCTCTCTCTTTGTCCTCTCTCTCTCTTCTATTTCTCTCCCTCTCTCTACTCATCTCATCTTTTCTCTCTCTCCGTCTCTTCTCTGTTCCTCTTCTCTCTCTGTCCTCTCTCTCCTCTCTCTCTTTCTCTCTCTCTCTCACTCTCTCTCTCTCCCTCTCTCTCACTCTCTACTACTCCCTTCCCTCTCTGTCCTTCTCTCTCTCAACCTCTCTGTCCTCTCTCTCTCTCCCTTTCTGTCCTCTCTCTCTCGCTTCTGTCCCTCTCTCTCTCAATCTCTCCATCTCTCTCTCTCTCTCCTCAATATTCTCTCGTCTCCTCTCTCTCTCTCTCTGCTCTCTCTCTCTCTCTGCACTCTCTTGTCCTCTCTCTTTCTCTCTCTCCTTCCGCCTCCCCCCCTCCCCTCCTCTCTCTCTCTCTCCTCTCTCGTCGTTCTCTCCTCTGTCTCATCTCAGTACTCGTCCTCTCTCTCTCTCTCTCTCTGTCGGAGTCTCTCTCTCCTCCCTCTCTCTCTCGTCCTCTCTCTCTCGTCTCTCTCTCTCTCCTCTCTCTCTCTCTCTCAGCCTCGGGCGCATGCGTGGTCCTGGCTCTCTCGCTCCGCCCGACGGGTCGTGGCCGCGGTCGGGCGCGCGCGGTCGCGGGCGCGCCGCGTTCCTCGCGTGCGTGCGCTACCGATAGTCAGACCAGAGTCACAGAACTAGATATCGAGGGTATAGAGGAGATAGTACCCTGGGAGGGAGGAAAGGATCATATGATACATATGTGGGGTGGAAGGGGGGAGAGCAAGCTGAATTACTCAAGCAAGATCGCATAAGATGACGGGGTCAACATATGATGCTCGTGGCGGGAGGGCGAGTGTGTGGATCACAGATACATGACAAGAACTCGCAGGTGCGCGTTAACCGGGTATAATACAGGGTGAACAGAGGTTAAGAAATATACAACGATAGGATAGACCTAGTAGTACACACGATTCGGAGAATAGTTCCTAATGCTGCGATGTAAAGAGAGTTAAAGGTACTACATGGTGACTTGGTGTGTGGTATGCACATCAGATCTAGGGGGGGGGGGGCGGGTGGGGAGTGGTGGTGACACAGGTATAATGGTGTGTGGAGGTTCGCAGGATGAGTACTATCTGAGTAAGTAGGGAGTATGCACTACTGAGAGGATAGCAGAGGGGGAATATGAAGGGGAAAGGTACTAGACAAGAGTCGTAGTGGAGGTAGGGTAGATATACGGTGGGCTGAGGCGTAGGTCAGAGAGAGACTCAGCGGAAGGGGTAGAGGACTCAGATAGGGTCTGTGAGGAGGAGGAATAGATAATAGTGAGAAAAGAATGTAACAGAAGGAACGGGTAAGAAGGGTGGGAGAGAGGGAGAAGTGGAGAGAAAAGAAGGATACTACATCAAAAGGACAGATGGGAGAGGACAAAAATGACAATAAAGAAAAAAAAAAACAGAACAACAAAACAGTAAACAAAGCAGAGCTATCAGATATAAAATAGATAGATAGATATATATAGGTAGAGAGATATATATGAGATAAGTAGATTAGATATATAGATGGAGATAGATATAGATAGTAGTCATAGTTAGGGAATATATATGTACTATAATATATAGATAGATATATATATAAATAAAAAGAAACTCACACATTGAACAAAACGCACAGCAGCACACATAAAAACCACACACACGACAATGTCTCTCAGCTACTCTCTCTCATCTACACTCTCTCTCTCTCTCTCTCTCTCTCTCTCTCTCTCTCTCTCTCTCTCTCTCTCTCTCTCTCTCTCTCTCTCTCTCTCTCTCTCTCTCTTTCTTTCACACTCACACTTGAACACACTTGCACGCACACACATACACACACATACACACGCACACGCACACGCACACGCACACGCACACGCACACGCACACACACACACACACACACACACACACACACACACACACACACACACACACACATACATATATACATAAATTTAATCATGTACATATATATATATACATATATATTGATATATTTATGTATATACATATATTGATATATTTATATATATATACGTACATTGATATATATTTATATATACCTATATATACATATTGATATATATTTATATATACCTATATATGCATATTGATATATATTTATATATACCTATATATACATATTGATATATATTTATATATACCTATATATACATATATACACATATGTAGATATATAAATGTATATATATATGTGTATGTATATATATATATGTATATGTATATATATATACATGCATATTTATGGATATTTACAATATATATACACATGCATACATACATATACAGATGTCTGTGTGATTTTATTTCTGTTGTTACTTTCATATGTACCCAACTACTCTCTTTGTTGCATTTTCCTTTTCTTTTTCCTTTTCACTGCCTGAGAAATCAAAGATTGGCTTTAAACATTCATAGCTGTTTACCCTTTAAATTCTCTTCAGGTAATGTGTATGTTTTTTTTGTGCAATGATCTTCTTTAGCTGATGAAGAGCAACAAATAGCAAGGTCTCATTATCAAGAACACCTTCATTGTGTTAATAGCCATTTTTTATCGAACCTCATGTTAAGGAAATCTTTTTGCTTACCTTTTTAAATTCTTGTGACTGGTTTTGTCATAATGGTTGTGATTAGTAGTAATAGCATTATTATTACTGTTGATATCATTTTCTGATATAATTTTTTGGTAGCTATGATCACAGTGAAGGTTCATCCTTTTTACTAAATTTGAAATTCAAGGTGGATGCCCTGTTCATCTCGGGAGTGTCAGTGATTTTAAACCAAAAATATAGTGTCATCATTTTATCATTATTAATATCTTGGTCATGAACAAGATACAGTTGTTCATTGCCTTATCTTCCTTTGTTTTTTTACTGCATGCAGTTATTTAATTTCCAGTATTCTTTTTTCATATCAAATAATCTTATGGTTATTAGTTTGTTCATTTTCTAATAAGGTCCTTTTTCTTCCAGGAGAGTGAGCAAATCGACCCATTTGGAGATTCCTTCAAGCCAACCTTTGCCTCAACAGACACGAGCAAACCCCGGATCACGGCAAGCACTGCACCCACGCCAGCCCCTCTGGCTCCCCCTCCAGTCTCAGGTCGTAGCAGGCACGACTCACACCATGGTGCAACGCTGCAGCAGCACCAGCACACAGCATCAACAACTCCTGGGAGCACACAGGATGTTAGCTCAGGAGACTTTGCCAAGTTCCCCGTGAACTTCCCTGATGTGACAAAGTCGCCCCCACCTGCTCAAACGCCACTGCCTCAGCAGGCAGCGCAGGCCAGAGAGAACCAGGAGGATAGATACGCAGCTTTTAAGGAGTTTAGAACTGTAAATAATGGATCTTTTAATGATTTTAGTGATGCACGGTTCTGTGAAGGGCAAGAATCTGAAACAAGTGGTGCGTCGAGCATTCACCAGGCGGACGAGTTTGACGCACAGTGGATAAAAGCTGAAGTCTCAAATGAATCTCACTTAACTGGAAGTAAACAGTCTCATTATGATGTATTTACTGATTTAGACCCACTTGGAACTGGAAAAAATCGCCCTTATGTTGACAAACGAGATTTCTTTAGTGAAATGCGGAAACCAGCAAAGCGAGTTTTGCGGGAGTTGGGTGACGGTGAGGCATCAGCGCCGAGTTCTCCACGAACGCAGCCGGGAGTGATCCCTCCGGAGGTCTCTGCACTGGTGGCTTCAACCTCACTCTACTCAACAACGTCAAGATCGGCCAGTGTAACTGCCACCAGGCCAACAACATCGACAAACACTACTCCAATTCACAGTACTTCTGTCCCCTCTCATCCTTTCACTGAGTCATTTAGTCCCCCAGATTCATTTGGCCCTGAGGACTTTCAGTTTCACCAGAACACAGAAAAAGATTTCTATGATGCCACAAACTTCTCCTCTTCAGGATTTGCTGATTTTAATACATTTCATAATGATTCCCCAAGGAGTCAGAGGTCAGAGATGTCCAGCAGCATACCAGATGAACCTCCCCCTCCCTTGCCTTGCGGGCCTCTAACAGTGGCTCTCCCCCCAGAATCCTTCAGAGACAGTCCTCCGCCCTTTTCTCCACCACCAGTACCAAAGTCTCCAGAAAGAATGGCCTCAGGCCCAGGCTCTCCCCAGTTGAGTCACCACCCCCACCACTCCCCAGTACCTCAAACTCGCTTGAGTAAACAGGTTATGGCTTCATCTATCAGCCCCAAGACATTGCCTCGAAGTCACAAATTTAGGAAACAGTCAAGCTTTGAGAATGAGTGGAATGTAGGAGATACAGGTCATTTGAAGTCCTTCACAAGTGGAGAACTTACTCCCCCAACACCTCCACAGCTACATAGTGAAGGAGGCCTTAGCCCAAGACCAAGGCCTCGCTCTCACCTGTCAAAGCAGCTGAGTGCCAGTTCAGCAACCTTGGCACTGAGGCCTTCACATAGCCGTTACAGTGATGCTGAGCAATTTTCTTCCCCAGAGTTGGAGAGCAGGCCATTCCCAACTGATGGCCTCAACCTCAGCTATGAGGAGGCTCCAAAACCACCCCCTAGACCAGCACACATTGAGCCTCCACCTCTTCCACCCAAGAGGCAACCCACTCATGTCGTTTTGAGACCTCCACCTCGACCTCCTCCATCATGTGACCCACATTATAATTATATTAATGAATATGATTCTTCACCTGAAGGATCCAACACTCCACCCATACCCATTCCAGCCCGGAAACCTCGATATCCAGACTCAGCAGCTCAGCCAGCTTTTATACCAAGCCGATCCACAAAGCCCTCCCATCCAGATAGTTTCCAATTCCCCAAACCTAGTTTGAGTCCAACACATGACGTTGGGAGAAATGTGTATGATGTTGGGGGAGCTGTACCAAAAACTTCAAGGGATTCAACCCCAAGTAAGTCCTCAACTCCAGGAAAATCTCCACGGCTTATACAGAAAAGCACTGCATCTGTTGATCTTGCTAACACTAGTCTTGACCAGTTGGCAGCCAGCTTAGACATGCCAGTGGAACAGTTAGCCAGGATGACTGTAGTAGAGTTAGCTGCTTGCTTAGCCCAGCTGCAGCTGAGACAGGGAGGTGATCTTGAAAACCAGGCCAAGGAAGATATCCAGACACATGGAATGTCTTCTGGAGAGCAGTCAGGTAGAAGATCTAGAGCTTCAAGTAGAGATCACAGTAGAGACCGATTTGCTTTTGATGAGGATGAAATGTTTGCAAAATTTGATGCGCAATTTCCAAAGAGCCCAGTGGAGCCCCCAGAATTTAGTGTTACAAGTAATCAGCAGTCAACGCATGCTGTTGGAGCACCAGTCAGCGAAGACAGATATGCTGTATTCAGAGAACTTTCAACAACAGTCAACAAACAAAAGTCAGTGTTTGATGAGAACTTTTTGACACCACAGAATTCCATGGATGAAGAAGTTTCAGAAGTTTCATCTGGCACTTTCAAAGCAAACTTTGAGAGTGATCTCAGAAAAGATTCCCTTGATCGAAAATCATCTCTCAGTGATGATGGTGAAATTGGTGAGCTGGAGAAGGACAAAGAGTGGCATCCACCAAATCATGATCTAGAATGTGTGACAGTCTTTAGAAGCCCCGAGATTAGTGAGTATGACAACTTTGAACCCACCTTCGATGCCAAGTTCGACGATGATTTCTCGGCTGCTACGTTGAGTGAGAAGAGCATTACACCTGTAAATTCTCCTACCCCACAGAGATATACAAGTCCACGACCACAGAGGAAGCAGATAGAGGCACATAAGTCACCTTTTACCGATGATTTTAGTTCTGTTAGTATTTCTTCCAAGCAAACCTCTGGACGCCAGGAAAGAACAGAGTCAGAAACCTCATTCGCCAGTTTTGATGATAATTTTGTGCCTCCTGCAGAAGGAGATAAATACTCAAACTACCAAGACTTTACTGGCAGTGGAAGAGTATCAAGGCAAGACTCACAGAGAAAGTCACCATTTGTAGATAATTTCATTGACTCCAAAGGAAAAGATCAGATTGAGGATAGTGGATTCACCTCAGGCTTTGGAGATAGCACAGACACCTTTGATGATCCTTTCACCAGTGTGGAGCCAAAATCAAGAAGTGCATCCAGAGGAAGTTCGGAGATGATGAAAGTTTCAATGGAAAGAGAAACAACTCTCCAGCCACCAGTTGACACAACAGTTACCAAAAGAAAAAGTCCATTTGATGATGACTTTACTAATCGTGGTGATCGTTACGAGGTGTTAAAGGAGGTTGAGAGCGAAAGAGAACCATCTCTGGAAGGGGAAGTGAGTCGGTTGACAAGACAGGGAGATGCAAGGGGATCTCCCTTTGAGGACTCCTGGCATGGATCTCAGAGAAATACGCCTTTTGATGATCAAAAATCCATTGGTTCACTACATTCCATTCATGAAGAACATCGAAACATTCCACAAGAGTCTCCCTTTGAGGACGACTTCAATGGTGACTCAAGGAAGGCTTCAGTAGACCATGGAAGGCTTTCTCGGACAGGCTCAGAGAACAGAAAATCTCCGTTTGGTGACAGCTTCACTCCGCCTTCCTCAGGACGGGCTCACAGGAACAGAATCCCATCGCGGCTGAGTGTTGAAAGTGAGGGAAGTGATGTTAGACATTCCCCATTTGAGGACAACTTCAGTTCAATCATAGGCAGTGTCGCCGAAGAGGTGACATTTGATGCATTCCCCAGCCTGCCACAGGATGCATCTGTAACAAGTGAGGCTGAGGAAGTGGATCCGTTTAGTGTGAAACTGAACAAGCCACCATCAAAGTCCCCTGAGGGTGATTCAGAGATGCACTTTGCAGATTTCGAGCATGCATTCCAGCAGAACGAGGGGGAGGAGCCCAAGCAGAGCAATGAAGAGCCAGCTGAAAGCACACCAGCTAAGACTAAGACGCCACAGCCGGGCGAGGAGGTGCTCGAAGAGGATATATTCCCTGACGACGAGATGGAGTTCAAGATCTCAGCACGTTACGTCACACCCACCCCTGACATGAAGAAGTCAGACTCCATTAACATATTCCGCCGGAACAGTGACCCCTTCGCTGATGATTTCTTTTGTAGTGAGGGTGAGGGCAGTAATGCGCCAGGCCCAGTAAAGCCAGAGGATGACCCATTTTGGGAAAAACCCTTTGATAATTTTTCCTTTCCTGTGGATCAGTAATATAGAAACTCATTACTGAAATATTAATGCTCAGAATATACTATTAATACTGTGGAAGTAAATAGCAGTTTGGAACATTGAATTTAATGTATTAAAAGGGTATATTAAAATGATAAATTGTATTATTTTTTTGGGTCAAATGTCACATATTGTATCATGTCACAAACATATTCACAAGACTTTCTGATTATTTTTTATTAGATTGATGATAAATTAGTGTATATAAAAGTCAGACATCTTACTGATGATATTGCCATATGTAGACTTAACTTTCATTGTACAATTCCTCACAATTCATTTGTATTTCTGCAATTAAATCTTCATACACTCAAAATGTATATGTGGCAAGTGTATGCAAATGCTTTGGAGTAGAAAATTATATTTTTTTTCTGTTTAACTAATCTGTGATCTATCTCTGCTTGTGTTCATCATAAATTTGTTTTGTATTTTTTGTCTGAATTTTAGTCTTTGACTCTACAATACCAATACTCATTGAGTAATATTCTGTGACGAATTCTCTCTCTTTCTTACTCAAAATACAGTTTTTAGACAGGAAAAGTAAATCATATTTTTATTGGAACTGTAGTGCAATCACTATTTATTTTGTAGAATATGTTGATGTATGTACTGAATATGTGTGTATATATATTTTTTTGACTTGTATTCTTTTGTTGGTTTGAGAAAATCACATGACTGGAAGTAGTGTAGTAGAAAAGCTATAGACACAAGATAATGCTGACTTTATCAAAACAGTGCTGGAAATGTTAGAACTTCTTTTTTTTTCCATTTTGGGGGGGATGTTTGTATTTGCAGATATTGCATCATTGGTAATGTCAGCCTTTAATCCATTAGTGACAGTATTGGAAATCTCTCGGCGGCATAGACTCCGGTGATTTCTGTCGACTGTCCTGCCGTTGTAAGCGGGAGTCTGCTATATGTAGCAGAACTTCCCGCTCAAAGCGCTCTTGCACATCATCATGCATATAGCCGTTCCTGGCAGATCAAGCGGTTTGTTATAACGGCTATACACACGGCCCGGCAGTAACGGGTTAATATCCTGCACACTGGCCGGTTTTTGGAGAGAGCTGGATAAAGAAAGAAAAATCCCACCGAATACAATACTACCCCTCTCATGCGGGGTGTCTGATATTGTAGATCAATTTCATTCTTTGTCTTGATAATTTTTTTTTGATTGATAAAGAACACAAATACTCTTGATTAATATCTGAAATTATTGATTATCCTTTTTTAATAATTTCTTCAACGTATTTATGATTTACTCATACTAATTTCACCAAGTTCTGAATCTGAACTGTGTTGACTTTTTCCTATTCTGTGAAATATAGCATCTTGCACTTTCAGAGTAATACAGTATTATAGACCTCATAGCTACTTATTTCCCCTCGAACTGTCAGTGAAAGTAGTCTGCCTTCATTTCTTTCTTTTTCTTTTTCTTTTTATACAAGATGCCATATGATTGATATGATTGATGACATGCTACATGTATGTCTTAAATGGAGACATGTCTTTAGGTCACACATATTGATATTTATTGATATTTTAGATGGTATTTGATCACATCACAATGTTGAGTGAACTGTTATTTTTCATTGCCATAAAAAAGGGAGATTTCCAAAAGTGTATACTGAATAGAAGTGATGTTCAAGTAATATATTCTTTTATTGATGTGACTATCTTAATAATTTCTTATGTTTTCCTAAGCAGAAGGATTTCACTACGATTGTTCTCTACACAGTGCTATCAAGATAACTGCACAGATCAGGAATGATGTTGGTAATATTTACTCAAGCATGTGAAGAATATAATAAGTTCAATCTTTTTATTCATGATAATGAAATATATAAATATGTCTTTTTTTAGAGATGACCTCTTTCTTTGATTAAAAGAGTAAAAAGAGTATTTTAAGAGCCTAAATTTCACAAAATTTAAAACTCAGATAAGATCACAGACAAAAAGAGTAATGAAGATTGAAAAAAGCAAGTGCTTTGTAGACAATGGAAAAAAGCCTTGTCACAAATTACAGAATAAGAAAATGTACTGACTCTCCAAATTTTCCTCTCTTCTCGCGCTCTTACTCAAGTCCCGTTCAAAGCTTTGTGTCTTTTTTGATTTGCTTGAATGATGATACGAAGTTACACTTCTACTACGCCATCAGAGAAAAAAAAATTACATACCTAAATACATATAATACAAAAAAATAATTAAAAGAGAGTGAAAACCATTTACACAGCAGTCAACGTTGAACTGTGTTAGCATCTGGTAGTAGGTGAGCCAGACCGCTATGTCTTGGCCCTAACTATAGTTGTTAA